AAATAATTATTTTCTTTAAAATATTTTTTCACATACATTTATAGATACATACATTTTCACATATATTTATAGGTATTAGTTTAAAAACTATATTTATATAAATCTTTTATTATTTTTATTATTTTATATTATTTTATATATTACATATTATTTTTATATTAATTAATACATTTTATTTCATATAAAATNTTTTAAGATTAAAAAATAATTACATTGTTATAAAATGATTAATATTTTTTTATTAAATATGAATTTTATGACGTTTTATTTTTCCATATTAAACACTTATATTTTTTAACCTTTAAATTTTTCTTAAACATAAATATTTATTTATGTTTAGTTTATCACTCAGTAACAATCAGTAATTATTTGTTTAAAAAAAAAATAGATTAATATATCTTTAATAGTTTCAAAGAAAATAATTTGTAATCAGTGAATCACATATTTATGTGATATACAAAAATTGATTACATTTTATCCTATGTATATTTAGAAATTATATCAATTATATGAAATTATATAAAATATAATGGAATTTTATCAAAATTTATTATATGAAAAAGTATAATAAATTATTTATAAAATTGTTTCTTAGTTTTTAAACAAAGAAAAGTGGGAAATAACAAAAAAAAACTTAAAAAATATAAATATTTTATCCGTAAGTAATATAATTTTAAATTCACTTTATAAAATATTATGCAATATTATTTAAAATTATTACACATACCATACAATATCACAAGAAAATTATATATTTATTAATTTTCTAATTTATAACTTTATGGTTATATACTATTGTAACCATAAATATATGTATAAATATCTGATACAATATTCAATCTATTATAATTTGTTTTGTAAGTTTTATATATACTTTTATTTAAATATGAATAATTTGCTTTTATATTCAAAAAAAAAAAAAAAATTGTTCAAATATCAATAAGAAACAAATTTTAACAATTATCAAAAAAAAAACAAAAATTTATTGTTAATCAATCTTTTTATAAAACAAAATGCTTAAACTTAAAATATAAGGAGTTAGTAGGATAAATTGTAAATACTTAAATAATTTACAAATATTTAAAAATAATAATAATAAATATATAATAAAAATCATTATCTATAATGTCATTAGAAAAAAAAAATTATTTTCTAAAAAATGAATTAAAAATTCGTATAAAAATTAAATATAAATCTATCTCAATTATTTCACAGATTTAGATATTTTAATATAGGATTTTTTATATATTGAAATAATATTGAATATTGAAATAATTATTATAAATTTATATATATATATATATATTCTCTATTCTTATTGGATATTTTTAAAAATGCCGCTTATATCAACGAATAGAATAGAGCCACAATCAAACTAAGATAAAATTAGAAAAGTTTTTATGATATTTTAAGATAAAATTAATATGCTCGATTCTTCTTATAGTTATATCTTTATAAAATTTTAAATTTTTTGTAATAATGCTAACAAAAAACTTATTTATATAGTTAAATATAAATTAGAAGTATAAATGTGAATGAATAATATTCGAATCATTCCATAATCATACAGTTCCTTTAAATTATTAGTATAATTTTATAATCTTATAATGTATATATTAATAAAAATATTTTTTATACAGTTATTAGTTTTTCATTTTGTAATTGGTGGTCCAGAAGAAGATCAAGGTGTAAAATATGCAAATAAATGCGAAGGTAATTATATATAAACAATAATTTATTGATACTATTTTATAAATATCATAAATATCATTGTTTTGTTATAGTTTGCAAAGTAGTTGCCACTGAATTAGAAGCAAGATTAGATGAAACAGGTAAAACACATGATATACTTGAAATTGGATATTCTCTTGATGATGTTTTACCCAAGAAAAAGAAAGAATATAAAAAATCGTAAATATATATATATATATTTTTAAAGAAATGCATTTAATTTGTAAATTATAATTTGTGAAAATTTTGTTTTTATTCCGTTTAGAGAATTACGTTTAGTAGAAAGTATAGAAAATTTATGTGAACGTATATTGGAATATAATATTCACAAAGAACGTACAGATAGTACAAGATTTGCCAAAGGAATGAGTCAGACATTTAAAGCACTTCATGATCTTGTGTAAGATGTAGTTTCAAATTAAATTTAAATTAGATTTTAAATATATTAGAAATAATTATAATTTTACAATTATAATTATAGAGATAAAGGAGTCAAAGTTGAACTAGGAATACCATATGAATTATGGGATAAACCATCTGTTGAAATTTCTACTTTAAAATCACAATGCGAAGATTTAATTGAAAATCATGAGGCTGATATTGAAGACTGGTATCATAATCATCAAGGAAAAATTCCTTTAATTAGGTAATGATTATTATTATTATGCTTTGAATTTAATTCAACTACATAATTTTTATTCTATTAGATATTTATGTTCAGAGAAAGCATTAAAAGGAGAAGATGATTCTTGTCTGAAAGAAAAAGGTGAAACTATGAATAGTGATATGAAAGAGAAAAAAATAAAAAAAAAAGAAGATACAACAATTCAAAATAAAGAAAAAGATATAAAAGAAGAATTATAAACTATTAATAATGAAATTATTATTATTATATATAATTATGAATATTATATATATAATATAGTATGTATATATATATAATAATGAATTATTATAATTCATTGAAAAATCTTTTAGTATATAATAGAATAATTAATAGCAATATATAAAAAAAATAAAATATAAGAAGGAATTGAATATGATACATTTATAAAATTTAAAAAAAATGAATAGAATAATATATGAATATTCAATCATTTTTATCAAGTCATTATATTATATTAAACATTGCAATATGTCACATTTTCATATTCAATTTGTAAATTTAATAATATAATATAATATTTGGATTATAAATATTATATTATATTATATATATATATCAATGTTTGATATAATCATAAATATATTTTGCTTTTAATAAACAATTTTATGTCTAAAAATTGTAAATACATATTTATACTTATATTACATATTTATAACTTGAAGATAGTTGCATAAAAATAGCATATATTTTTAAATATGTATTTTAATTTTATTATATTTTAACAAATATGTCAATATACATTTCATTTTTTTTTATTTTTATAAATTTTGAAGAATGTAAAAATATATTATTAAAAGGTAAAAGAGTACAAGATGGTCAATTTCCCTGGTTGATACAATTTCAAACAGTAACACCATGTGGTGGAGTACTTCTTTCACCAGATTGGGTTGTAACCTCAGCACAATGTGTGCAAGACAAAAGAAATGTATGATATTTTTACTATTTAAAAATTAAAGAAAAGGTATCAATAGTCATATCTTAATTTTATTAACACAGTCCATTACTTTATTTGCAACTGGACTGAATGGAACTAACTCTAGACAAACAATATCTGTAAAAGCTACATACATACATCCTACATATGAAGCTTACTCTGATCCTCCTGATCGAGATTATAATATAGCTCTTTTGAAACTTACAAAACCATTTAATATATATCATAATAAAATAATTCTACCTAATATTGTACCTGTCAAATATAATGATAATTACAAATTATGTCTAATATTTGGATGGCAAAGCTATGTTTCACCATCTTTAAAAGTTCTGGCTAAACCAATTCAATATCACGAAGTATTTCTTAATTCCTGGAAAATGTGTACATACATGATAAAAACATATACAAATTATACAAATTTATTTTGTACAATGGTTGAATATAAAGATGAAATTATAGCTTGTGCTGGTAATCCTGGTTCTCCTGTTATATGTGAAAATCAAAATCATGAGATAGCTATAGTTGGAATTGCATCTTGGACAAACTTTTCTTTAGAATGTGGAGATCTTCCAACATATATTGATATTGGTTCATTTTGGTATAAATTTATTAAATAAATTTCACAAATTTTTGAAAATATACAAAATATTTTTAAATTTATAAAAAAAAATATAAAATGTTTTTTTTCATATAAAATTTAATATAATATAATTTTTTAATTAATTAGGACATGGATAAATGATTTAGTTTTTAGTAACAAGGATTCAAAAGAATGGGAAAATAATAGTTTTACAGAAAACATTCGTATGCACAAATGTTTGTGGAATTATTCAGACTTATTACAAACTGATTCAGAAATAAATCATTTGTCAAACAATTCAAAGAATATATCTCAAGTGACAATAAATTATCAAAATTCATCTTCGAAAAGTATGGCTAAATTTTATGTTTAAACTAAATTACAATTTATTTTTAATAATTATATTGATATAAAGTCATCTTTTTCTAATAGTTATTATATAAAATGTCTTACATAGATATAGCAAAAGAAACAAGTAATATTATTTATAAATATAAAGAAATTGGAAATTCTGAAGATAATAGTCAAAACATATGGAATTTAAATAAAAAAAAACAATTTAGTACTATAAATAAGTCATTGTTATGCAATAATCAGCAATTTCATAAAGACATGATAAAAGGATTCAACGATCAAGTAGATATAGATGATCTTGAATTATTATTACCATTTAATTTTGAAGAAGTAACTTCCTCCTATTCATGTAATGTTATGATATGTCCTAAAAAATTATATATATTCTACTATTTTGTATTTTGGAATCTTTATATTATTATTTACACATATGGCATTTGAATTTATTTATACAACATATATTTTATATAAAATAATTTTATGTAATACATTGAATATATGCAAATTTTATAAATGATTATTTTCTAAAAGGTGGTGGAATCCATTTCTTTTTTCCACGAAATTCTCTTAAACGTTCAAATTCTTCATTAAAATCTTGATGTTCGTCTCTGAATAATCCATAATTTCTAAGATGATTCATTAATTCATTAGTTTCACGATGCCGTGGATAATAATCAACAATTTCTGGTCGTTTTTGTAATGGTTTTTCACTAAATAATTTAACTATTTTCATAGATTTTGAATTAACTGTTCTTGTTACTTCTCCGAATATTCGATTACTCAAACGATTCATATGTTTGGCGTAACTTGTACCTGCTTTTGCAAGTGTCAAGTATTTATTCATATTGTTACAAATATTTAATTTCTTTTCAAATCGTATTCTAGATGAAAAATAAATTGAGATTATTGAAAAAATAAATTGAGATTACATAATAGAAAAAAATTAAGGTTAGAAATTGCAATGCAATGTATTAAATACAATTACTTCATTAATTTTTATCATTAATACTATTTAATTAAATACATACTGTTTGAATCTATATGAAGATAAAATAAATTGTAAATGTTTATTTGTTGTATAATTTTCAAATTCTTATTATAAGTAAGATGTATTATGGTGAAATTACAATCAATTACTGCTTTAAAATAAACATAAATGTTTTATGAAGATTAATAAAAAATAAGAAATTTAGCGATAAAATTATATTTTTATATTTATCTTAAATAATTAGAATTATATTTTATTTTTGTATAAAAAGTATTAAAAAATACATAATACATAATACTTAATACATAATACAAAAATTTTTTTTAAATAAAGAAAAATAAAACTATTTAATAATTGATAATGTAGATTTTTATTTATTATAATATATTTTTCCTTTTAAAGATTAGTTAGATACATGAATTTTTATTAATAATTTTATTGTATTATATAAATAATATTATAGTATATCAATTGACATAAAAATTTTAAAAATATGATAGAGTATTTTTTTTGCAAAAATTATTTATATATATTGTAGTAACACATGTGGCACTTAAAATGTATACTATTTAAAAATTAAAGAAACGATATCAGTCATATTTTAATTTTATCAATACTATTTTATTTATAATTGAATTAAATGAAAAAATTAATTCTAAATAGTACCTGTAAAAGTTATATATATTTTATATTATTATGAAAAAAAATAATATTAGAAAAAAATTAAAATAATTATAGAAATCAAATTAATTTTTGAACGCATAAATTTTACACAAATATAAACAAGGAGAGCAAATAGTGAGATAGGATAAAAATTGAGGAATCAGCGCCATCTCTCGAATATCAAAAGTATCTCTTCAAAGATAGGATAAAATAGAAAAGAATTGAAGACTTACGCCATCTCTCGAATATCAAAAACATCTCTTCAAAGAAAGGATAAAATAGAATACGAATTGAACATCAGCGCCATCTCTTGATTATTTTTAAAAATATATTTCTCTTGGAAACAAAGAGATGGCGCTAATAGCTACTTTTACTTTATTTCTGTCTTTTTCTATTATTTGCTCTCTTTGTTCATGTTATATTTTATTTGCGGCACTCTGAAGATGGCGCTGATTACACAATTTTTAATTTATGTCTATCCTTTTCTCATTATTTGTTCTCTTTATTTATACTTGTCTTGGCGCGTGCGCATAACCACAAACAAGCTATGGCAATTGTAATTTATTATTTTTCTTTCAAAAATATAATGTGTAAATTTATCTTTAATGTAAAAATATTACGGATATTACATTTCTTAATTCTATAATATAATATCTCTACGATATTTATAACTTTATGAAGAATTCCTAATATAAGTGTTTAATTATTGAAATAATTATCAAATACAAGACAACAAGAATTTAAAATTAAATGTTAAATTTTGTATCTTGTCTGTGATAATTATTTTAAATTAATTCCATTATATTTATTGTTATTAAATTCAATAAAATTACTTTAATAAAACTTTCAAAGTAGAAGTATCTAACTATCATTTTGATATAATAAAATAATTTATATTATTGTTTTACATAATAGAGTTTACACAAATATAGAATTAAATATATATTAATTTTTACGATAAAATTTTTTCAGAAATCTGATATTGAAAAATATAATTTGAATATGATTGCATACAAAAAATACGATGTATTTTAAAAAAATATCTTTATAAAGACATAAATGAATTTTTCATTGAACTTCTCTTCTAATATCATAAAAAAATAAAAGAATTATAATAAGATTTATTAACAATGATCAGAGTTTCGTACGGTATAAATACTTTCTCATATTTGAAATAGAATATCACATATCAAATATCACGTAGATATATAGAATATCATATACATTTTCCAATTAAAATTTACTTAGAATTAAAAAAGTTTATATTTACCCACAACCTTTAATGCTTACGTAAATATTCCACAGTGCTTCAACTCCTTCTCATAATCTAACTTTTAACTTATTCTGTAATTTTAGTTTATCAAACGTTAAACGCAGTACTTTCCTCCATGATGATCCATGAAGTTACTCGATTAATCTCGGGCATCTCTTATTTCTTTCCTCTCGGAAAAACATTTATTTTCATCGGTGCCTTCAACAACTTCAGCAACTTCAGAAACTATTTCGATCGAGGTAAGATTAACACGATCGGTTTATTCATTCTCGGATTATAATCGGGGCGTACATTCGCCTAAGAATGTATTCTTATGACAACAATGATTGAAGATATCGGCACGTAAATTACCAGCAAATTAGATTGCCGAGTTTTGTTGAGGCTTCCGTAAGCGAATCGAGAAACCTGCCAAGAGTCAGCGCATCTCAGAACTTCTCCGACCTCGGGCAAGGTGAGTGCTACTCTCTAATATTCGACACCACTTATCCCAGAACGGACATCCTGTGACACGTGTCCCCCTCTATTCGACGAAATTCTGCCTACTTCTGGGTAAGTGTTAAACACATATTAATGAATTATCTCTTTGAATTATCATAGAAGAAAATTATCTATTCGATTCCGCGAGATTGCGATTTCGTAATGGCGAATCTAGATCGATGATAATTGTTTCTATGAAGAACCGTGAATTCTTCGTTCACTATGCGATCATACTTGCGTGCATGTACACTCCCGTTCATAAGTCGCCGGATATTTGATCGGGAACAAGATGCAATTTATTATTTATTTATAATAATTCTGAGATTTTTCATGCTTTATATATATATTATTCATGCTTTATAAAATATTTCTTTTGGAGAGTGCATTTTTTTTTTAATTTTTAATATAAAAATATTTATCTTCTATGTTACGAATAATTAAGTATTATAAGATTTGAGATTTACATGTAGATTTTCTATAGATATTAAAAGAAATGTAAAATGTAATATTGATTGGAAAAAAATCAAATATTGAAATTAAATTATTTTTCTTCCGGCAATATTAATCTTCAAATCATAATATTCGTTCAAGTAAATTTACAATGGGATTTTTAGAAATATGATGAATGGAAATTAATTTTGTTGGAATTTTCTTTTTATGACACAAAGTTCATTTATCTCTATTTTAAACGTATTAAGTATGCGGTGACACTATGGATGACAGTGTGTATTACGTGGGAGTGTGCATACCGAGTTATTTCAAAATGGTGTCATTCGGCTGCATTCGGCACTGATTTTTCAGATATCGTCGATCTTAGTTTTAGCGTAGGTTATACGCGGCTTGCATTCTAAACGAGACGTTTCTCGAGATCAGAGTGAACGTCGAATGATTATGCTTTTCTTCCTGGCTGAGTAAAAAATTTTTGATACTTTGTTGTGATCAAATTTTATCAACAATTGGAAATATACAAATTGTGTAACTATAAATATAAACTTTTTCTCACGGATGATTTTTAATAAAATTGAAAATATTCTATATATAATATATATTTTAAATGGATTATAATACATTACGTGGAATATCGTTGATTCTCAAAATGTACTTTAGCTATGTATATACTCAGAAATAATGATTTAACGGATCATTACGTATAATCTATTTTTATAGAACCTATTATCTTATCAATGAGACGTAAATAAAAATATCGAAGACAAAATGTTTAATGAAGAGAGACCAAACTTTATCAAGAATGTATACGTATTTCTTTAAATTGTTTCAATGTTTATTAAGGACATCTTCTTTAATATATAATATTTGAATGGAATTTTTTTTTTGCAACAAAATGTTCTTTGTCCCAAGTAAATGTTAATAAGAGATTTATAATTTTTATGTAAATGACGTCGAAACAAAAGTTAAGCAAATTAAAGGTAAAGATAAAAATGTAAATATATCATAAGATAATTATCGTTAAGTACGTTCGTTTGGTTGAAAAGCGATACATACCTGGTCACGTTGAAGAGCGAAGCCATATGAATCACTATGTGGAATGTGTTCACCAATTCGATAATTACGATATATGATACAATCATATTGGTCGGTACAAGTAAAGCAACCGATCGATCTTTTTCTTTTAGCTTTTGTAAACAGACTGTTCCATTTCCATTTCGTTTAGTATTTCGAGTATTCTTTGAAGATATTGAAAAAGATTATAAAATTCAAATTAAAATTAAAATAAAATATTTTTTTTTATGCAAAAATATTTATGATAATATAATGCTGTCATTATCTGTTTTATTTTTTAATTGCATATCTATTTTATTAATATTAGATATATTACGTATATTTGAACCGTAATATCATATTATCAAAAATAAAATATTATTGGTATTATTTAAATTGGATATATATTTTCGAAAATACCTTTAAAGAGTCGATTCTAGAGATCACAACAAAATACGAAGTTGGCATACAGAAATAATATATATATATATATATATATATATATATAGGTTAATCCATTTGTTATTAACAATAAATAATTTAAATAAGTTGATTGAGTAAGATAATTCTATCTTCGTCACACCGCTCCATCTCTATTTCCCTCTCGCTTCATCTAACATAAACTTTTATAACTTAATAAATAAATCTCAACCGATATTTTTGTACATTAATCTTTCTATTTTGTTATGATCTTTGGAATCAATCATCATATATAAAACACCTTGTAGATACTTATTTTAACACGAATTAAAAAATATATTTTCTTTTATGAAACATTGCCAACTTTTTTTTTTACCAATATATTTTTATTTATAAAAGTAAATATTTCTATTTGTTAAACGATTAAAAAACTTTTGCGTAACACTGTACGTAATAAACTGTTTATTGAATGAATAACACGTGCTCATATTCCACCGTGATAAAAGTAAATCTATATTTTAAATATAATATAAGAAATATTTTTTTTTATTATTTATTACAAGAATATTTTATTATATGTTATAAAAATGTTTTTTTACTCAACTATTAAAAACATTTTTATGATATTTTCACAACATTTTTGAGATATTCATATATATTTAATTTGTCCATCTTTTTTTCTGTTTAAATCAGTATTACCGAGAGAAAAGAATAAATATATGAAAGAAAGAAAAAAAAAAAAGACAAAGTGTGAAACAATGAAGAATGTTAGAAATTTATTATGGAAGCACGCACATTATGCTCGTTCCTCCACATGCTCCTCGTTAAGATTCAAAGTTCGTTGCTTCCGCTGCAAGCGTTAAAGGGTTCTTGATTGAGAGTACTTAAAAGCAACTCATCAATGTGCAGAAGTACAAGTATTTAGAAAATAATTATTTTTTCGTATATAGCTTTGATCGATAAATTAAGACAATTTTAAAAATAATAATATTATCCTAGTTTTACTTCGAATATCCATTTTTTCCTTCTATTAAATATTGACAATTTCTTGTTATACTCATATTTGTAATAATTTTAATTTTAAAATTAAAAACAATAAAATTATAATGTTTCTTTAGATGTATAATATCAAATGCATTCTAACTCTCGATGCACAAAATGATCATTATCATCAAAAACTTGTACCAATTTCCTTTGTAAATATCAAACTTCTTAATCTATCGATCATAGATAAGATTCTTCAAGATATTCTTAATCGATACTCCATCCAAGTAATCCAAAATATCGATTTATGATCATTACAAGAATCATTGTAAATTTCAAGCTCGTTAATAAAACACGAAATCAAGAAATTAATGATACTTCTTCGGATCAACCAAAGCAATCAACCAAAGGTAATCATTATAAACAAATTTATACCGATATGCCAATTTCTTTTTCCCTCAATTTCAAGATTTTCAAATCTTGTCAAATGATGTCTCGTTGTATCCGCAAAAAAAAAAAAAAAAAATTCTCTCAAATATCGATCCATAAAATAAACCCTAAAGAAAAAAAACGACGCAAATAACGCAACAACAGTATCAATCCTGGTATCACGTGTACGCGAGACAAAAAACGAGATCCATAATGTAATCTTTTTGCGGAGGTCTCGATGAGGGAAAAAGTACGTACACTTTTCCTCGCAGAATCGAATTTCCTGTTGCCAGTGAGTGACGTAGGTTTGGTGTTCCAATAACAGGAGTCCCCATACATAGTCGGTTCTATTGATTTTTCGTAGAGGCGCAAGCGCTATTCGGCTGTTATCTGGGAAAAGGGAGGCGCGGCTATAACCATGGATCCCAGTGTACTCGCCAACATGGACAAGGACGCACTGAAGAAGCAGATCGAGAACATGAAGTACCAAGTTGAAATGGATCGGTGGCCCCTGTCTAAGAGCATCGTCGCGTAAGTCCGTTAACCCCTTCTTCTTTTTCGCCCCACTTTCGCATCTATTGTTTTTTTTTTTTGTGATATTTCATCATCCCTCTTCTCCTTCCTTTTTTTTTATTTTTTTTTTCTCATTTAGATAGGTAGAACGTGGGATGTGGGTGGTCCATGGAAACGTTTCGCGTTATACCCGTCCAACAACCCCATCTATCCTCCAACTTGTATTCATTCATTGCGTTAGTGCGTTTCTTTTTATTTATTCGTTTAGATAATCGATAATCATTTATTTATCGATTAAATATTGATTAATTACTTGGGCGTTCGTTATTTGTTATTGCAAGTTTGTTGGTTATTGCAGCGGTTGAGTGGTTGTTAGAGGAGGTGAAAGGGTTGAACGTGCTTTTTTGGTTCATCTTATTTCAGGGGTTCATCTTATTTTTATATTCTTTGCGATCATTTTATTCGGTTATTGATATTTATTGATTATTTATTGATTTTACAGAGAATGAATTCGGGATGAATATTTTGATTATCTATTTTTTCTGGTCTTTGAATTCTCTTCACAAAGAAACTTCTGTGAATGAAGTGATTCATCATTATAGGCTGAAGTTATATATATATATATATATATATATATATGGATGAAGTTATAAGTTCACGATTTAGAAAAAATGACTTAAAAATTCAGAGTTTGATGAGCTTCTAGGGAGGTTGCTGTAAAATAAAATTCTTCACACGATTATTTTCTGGCTATAATTTAGGAAGCATTCTGCATTTTTTTTTAAAGGAATAATTAGGTCGCACTTACACAAAGTAGATAAACATTTTACATTACGATAAAAATTATATGATTCTTTCTTAAAATAGCATATAGAATATTAATAAAAGATCTATAATGATTAATAATATATATTTATAGGAATTTTTTTTATGAATTATATCTGTAGTTTTATCAGCAATAGGATTTAATAAACACGAAGATTGTTCAATTAGATTATTCTTTCTTCTTTCAAGAAGGATAATTTGAGAAGTCTATTTTTGAAGTTGTATTTGAAAAGTTTATTTTTAATATTAATACTTGAATATAATATTTGTGATAACAAATGATAAACAGTGTTTCATTTAAATGATTCAAATAGCTGTGTCGTTCTCACTATTTTTAGCTACATGAATAACACGTGCAATGTATAAAATTAAATTTAGATAATTCAAAAGTTAATGACAATAAACTATCAATGAAAATGATCTTATTACAATGGATATAAATTTAAAGCTTGCAATCTTTTCAATAATTTACTTGTTTAATTAACAAACAATTATACATATGCATATAATTGTACAATCATTATTCAATATTTCTTAAATTATGATATATATTACGCGAATCTTTGAAAATTCAAGAATTAATTTCAATGATTTTTCTTTCAATTAATCACGTTTATTCATTCCATGTTTAAGCTAGGACTGAGGATATAAGTATGCAAATTGAATCTTTTTATAAATACAACTAGAAAAATAAAATTTAAATAGAAATATGTTTTATCATAATATTCTACTTAAACATCATAACAACAATTTATTTTTAATATGTTGACTTTTTGCATACCATGTTGTGCATTTTGCATCAATATTAAACTCTCCATAAATACGTAAAAATAATACTGTAATCTATTATACGAGTAATAGATAATTTTTATCCTCCATTTTATATCCTTTAATCATTTCGTGACTAAATTACCTTCGAATTCGGTCGAAAATTGAATTATCCCGAATATATCGAATCTCCAGATTTCAACTATAGTGAAAACTTTGTTCGAATTTTATCTAATTGATCGGAAAAGATCGTTTTCCAGACGAGGAACGCAGGAGGTATATAGTAGATGACGACGTAATCTGTGTAGTGCCGTGGTGTGCCGCAACACGCGGCTAGTAGTAATCGACAGTCAAGGCTAAATTACACCGGCGCTGTGTACCCATATTACATGGGACAGGATCTCCTTGGACGTGGAGTGTCCGCTAATCGCATATTCTGAGCGCATATTCACACTTTTATGTGTTTAGATTGTGTGCACATGCCAATTGCGTACGCAACAAACGAAACGATTAATGAACAGGCAAAAAGAAAGAAAGAAAGAAAGAAAGAAAGTTTGTGATAATTTTTGTAATATTTTAATGTCACCGGTGGAAGAAAAAGTAAGATTTATGATATCTTTTTTTTCTTCTCTTCTGTGTTGTTCATCATCACGTTATTCACGTGTCATTCACTTCTCGTTATCATTGTGATAATGATCTGTCAGGATTTCAATCTTATTTATTTGATTCGTTATATCCTTTTTTGAATCTGTGATAAAATTGTTTTCCAATGGATATATTTATGCAGAATTAATTTTGGAGTGGTGTTTTATTTTTTTGTAAAATAAATTCTTGTTTATATTTGAGAAATGTATGTGTTTATCAAAATTCTCGAAATTCAATGTTTTTTTATCTCTGATGAATTTAGTTAATACACATTTATCTCGTTGTTAATTATGTCGTTTTATTATTAAGATCTTGTCTAAGACATGTCTCGACATAAATCTCGTTGTGTAAGCGCTATTTAAAAATTAATCGCTTAAGTTCCAATAGGATCGTTTTATCTAAATTGTTATTACTCAGCTTTATCATTTTTTATTTTTTAATAATTCGAGTTTATTCCAATATTTTTATATTAAAATTATTTTGTAGCTGAATGTCATTATATTATTTTTAAAATATTCTCTTTAGGAAGCTATACATTGATCTTATCTATTTTTCAAAATAATTTTGAAATTTGATATTATATATATCTTGATGTTGTAATAATATCATCAAAATTTCTTTCTTTTAATTATTCCTCTATTTTTGACAACACAAAAAGTCATTAGATAAGTAATGAGAATGCAACCAAAATTATTTTTTCTAAATAAAACTAGTCATAAGTTTCTATAGTTTCTATATTTTCAGGATCTAACTTCTTTAGAGTTAAAAAAAATTCATTTTTATCAATTATTAATTAACAGAAACATATTTCTTTATGATTCTTTCGTGAAAAAAGGAGAATATGTACAAAAATTTGAGAGTTGTTTTCGAAAAAGAATGTATTTATTATTAAGTTATTTAATATCTAAAGTATTAAGTTACATATGTAACATAGAACAAACATGCGAATCTTATTAAATAAGAAATAATCGATATCACGATCTCATTAATAAGATATCAAAGAAGATTGACAAATAGTCAAAAGAAACAATCTTGATCGTTTAAATTTTTATTTGTTTCAATGGACGTGACACCTAACCTAAAATTCTGCAGCAATGCAGAAAACCGTGATGGCGGCGCGTGGCTGCGTGAACAGTGCAAGACACATGTTGAAGATTCGATAACATGTGGGAAGTTGTCGTTGCGGAACGAACGCGGAACCGTGTTACTAGTTGCGGTTTTCGAGAGGGGAATCTAGTAAGCGAAAGCAAAAAGTTTCCGCGGTCTGTTACTCTGGAGAGTGCCATAGTGAAAGGTAGTAGCTCCCATTTTTTTTTCTTCCTTTCTTACCGATCGAGCTAATCTCTTGCTCTTAACGCTATTCTCCCTCTTTCGAATCCGTGCGCTTTTTCCCTTCGCGGACTTTGAGAAATCTTGAGATGAAACAACATTGCCGTGCCAAGATTATCAAGTCTACAAACGTTACTTCAACGAGAAGAATTTTCTTTGTATTTATCTTTTTTGGTTCTATTGAGGTATGTATAGTTGGTTAAAAATATGTTACATATGTTGTCTTACAAGGAAAGTCGTTTATCTTGAAAAATTTTCACACGAATTGAAATTGTATGTACATAGAATGTAATGGATTACGATGGGTAATACATAGAATTTTCAAATTTATTTTGGAAAAGAGTCAAATTTTCAAATTTTTATCATATTTTTGTATTTTATATACAATTTCATCTGGAAATATTTTTTTTATTATAATTTTAAGCATTGATTTTATCTCCAAGAGATATTATCTTTAATAAGTTTTGAATTAATTCAATTTTAGATCTAATAATAAGATAATTTTTTTCTACGTTCTTTTAAACTCATATTCACAACTGCATCTGCTAAAATATCAGCACCTTGTAACGTAAGCGCTCTAATTTCCACACCAAAACATCTTTGTAATCCGAGTTTGTAATTGAAACATGCTGCACCAACATGTAGTTAGTAATATGTATATCTTTAAATAAGAAAAGAAAAAAACCCTTAGAATATTTCTTGTTTTCTGACATTGACGGCATTACGAGAATCTTTTCTATTGGGTTGTGTAATTGATAGTGTTCTCTATTATTAGTTCAAATTTCACGATCATATAACTTGTGGTTCGTGTGCAATGATAGCTTCAGTAGGTACTTGTTCTTGGCTGTCATAAGTGAAACACATTAGTTAGAATGACGATAATTGAAATGTTAAATATGTATTTGTATATTTTTATATATTTTTTATATAAATTATTATCATTTTGATGATCTTTGAAACAATTTTTTAATTCGTTGTACTTTTAAAAGATTACAATCCTTATTTATAGTTAAAATAAAACAGTGTTTATAATAAAATTGTTACTTTAAATCATTTTATTATTTCAATTTTTATTATTTACGTTCCAATAATTATTTTTTAAAAAAGAAATTAATAAAGTTAAATAAAGATAAAATCTTTTCAAATTAACATAAATAATATGTTAGTACTTTGACAAACTAATCGATTTTCTGGCATTGCAACATGAAGATCGAAAAATAATAGTGTAGTAGCAACAGATTATTTACTCTTATTCGTTTCTAATAAAGAATATAGGTGAAAGTCTATAATTTTCTCACACTTTTCATTAAGTTATGAATCGTTCGTACAATTATATTCATTAACAAAAATTGAGAAATATTCGATTAGTATACGAAATATTTGTCTGATAAATTAGCTATTATTAATATTTGGTTGAATTATTGAAATATTTGATTATAAATTAACGACTAAATTTTTTTTAAATTAATACATTTAATTTATTTAATATTAATTTATTAAAAATATTTTTAAATTATTCTTCCGCATCAACGAAAGATGTTACGTTCAATAAATTAGTTACGTTATCATTATATAATGACTACTATCTCGATATAGATGTATAATTCAGAACCAATCCTTTCTCCTTCCAACTCATCAGCTTGAAAAAAGCAAATTAAAGAATTTGTATCCTTTCTACCTTTTACCTTTTCTTTACGAACTGATATCAATTCAAGATAAAATTGAATATCTAGATATCGGCGTAAAATAGAATCCAATAGAAAGTCATATGGATTCGGTTTAATCCAAGAACCCAAGAAGAATCTATTCTAATATATGTGCAATAACTGTGCAAAATACAATGTAAAACATAATGGGAAAAGTCTGGTAAAATTTATAAAATAATATCTAAATAAGTAATTTTAATCTTTGAAAAATTTAAATTCTTTTTATTTACAGTCTATAAGTACATGAATATTTTCTTAATTGTAATAAAATTATTTTAAAAAAGTTATGAAATCATTAATTTTATTAAATTTGACTTGTATTTATTTTATATTGTTTTAAATAATATTTTCAATACCTCACCAATAATAAAAGATAATTAAATTTTTCTACCATCAATACATTTATAACATTTTTGTGCTTAGTTTTAACATCTTATTTATTACTTTTTTATTATCTCACATTATCATATTTTTCATTCACTATCAATTTTCAAAAATTTCCATAAATGTTTATCTCTGAGTATTACCAGTTAACAGCAATAAATACACTTTATAAAATTATAATAATTTGCAAAATATAAATATCTAAATTATTCTTAATATTACTAAATACATATTTAAAACAGTCGAGATATATTTTATAATAATAATAACTACTTTTTTAAAAGTGGCAAACTGTTCGCATACTTTTGGACGAGACTGTACCTGGACAATTTGAAATCTTATCATATTCATCGATAAATAAATTACACTTCTCTAATAATATATTTACGAAAATTGATTGCAAATACAGAAAGATAAAATTCGTTGAGTAATATTTAACGTGGAAATAGGGAAAAATCGATCGATCGCGATCGAGCAGTCGCAAACCTTCGGAACACAGAATTCTCCTTGAACGCAAAATCGGCCATAGTGGCCGCAAGTCCCTTTCACCGAGCCTTCGCAGCGAAACGACCAACTATTCGTTCTTTGCCGCGCTTTTCTTTGCACGGCTTGCAACCTTGTTACGTTTACAACGATCTTTTGTACAGTGCGTTTCATATAGTTGGACCAAATTATTCCATTTTTTTTATTTCAATGAATTTTTAAACAATAACGATCTTGAAAATTTTGGAATATTTTTTCTTGAGAAGATGTATTTTTGGTTTATATAAATTTTTAGAATAATCGTATTAGTTTCAAAATTAGAAAAAATTCTTTAAGAAATATTATTCAAATTTTGGTGACTTATGATACAAAGGAAAGATTAGTTTTATCGATTCTTTTGAGAGTGTACATCATTGTGAACGAAATAAATTATTTTTTTTTAAATTTTTAGCTAATATCTTTTACAATTATGGGATTGACAACTTGATCCATTTGCAAGAAATATTCTGTATTTACATAAAAATAAAAAAGACAATCACATTTAAATAATATTACAAAAAAAAATAACCTAATGAACCTCAATAAAAGTTTATTTAATGATAAAGTTAAGATAAAAAAAAGTTAGCTAGACTTAATTTTGAATTAGATATCCACTATTTCATATAGTGAACCGATGTTTTTTTCAGGTATATTTAATTTTTGTACAACCATTAAGGGATTATATCATTCTTTTTAATTTTTTCAGTATTTTCTTTTTCAGTATTTGTGAATTACATTAAAATTCATCATCAAAGTCATTCAGCGACTCTTTCTCACAAAAGATTTTCTACCAGAAAAAACCAATCTTCTTATCAATCCTCATATTAATTAGTAAGAAAGAAAGAAAAAATATTTAAAACATTCGAACTGAAAGAAAATATTATTCAATAGACGGTCTGCTTGCTTCCAGGATGAGGGAGTACGTGGAAGAGAACGAGAAGACTGATCCACTGATACACGCGCCCGACAAGAAGAACAATCCCTGGGCCGAGAGAGGCAAATGCATAATCATGTAATCAGGACGTAGAACCGCAGGAGAAGAAGGAGAAGGAGAAGAGGCGAGGAAGCATCTCTGAGCGAGTACCATCCTAATCGAACAGAAGAGAAGCGGGAGCCGTTTCTAAACCGCGTTTGTAATAAACCAGCGAAAACAAGAAAATAAATAAATACCAAAAAAAAAAAAAAAAAAAAAAAAAAAAAAAAAAAAAAAAAAAAAGAAAAAAAAAAAAAAAAAAAAGAACAACCCCAACCCAAAAAAAAAAAAAAAAACAAAAAAAAAAAAAAAAAAAAAAAAAAATAAAAAAAAAAAAAAAAAGAACGAAGCAGCCAGTCAACCAAAAAAGAAAAAAAACGAAAAAAAAAAAAAGAAAAAAATACATACACAAAAGAACAAAATACATACATAAAGGAGGAAAAAAACGAGAAAAAAAAATAAAAGAGAGAGAGAAAGAAAGAAAGAATATATATATATATAAGGGAGAAAGGGAAAGAACGAAAAGAATGAGGATGAAGAGAAGAAATGCAAGGTGATTGCAAACGAGTTGGATGAAATCCTACAAGAAGATGGTGCCAGGAGAGCAGCAAAGTTTCAGAAGAAGGAGGCGCGAAATTGGCGCGAAGTGAAAAATAGTTCGAAAAGTAGCCGGAGCAAAAATTATTTAACAATCCAATTCCTCGTGGTTACCTGTCCGCGGTAACTTTCCCGTTCGGCATGCAAACGATCGCCGCGTTTCAGCTCGGCTTTCTTCGTCTCTAATCCTCGAAGCATCTCGAGTCGAATCGTATCGAGGTATTCCAATATAAATCACGAATCTTCTGGATTCGCGAAATAACGAGAAGAGACGAGAAAATTTCGTATGCGTATATATATATCGATCGGTTAAAGCTTCACCTCGTGTTCATTGCTCTTTGTCTTTTTTTCACTCGAGTTTCTATCCATCCATTTCTCGTTACCTTTTTTTCTTTCTCTTCTTCTCTGACTCTGTTTCTCTTTAACGCGAGCAAACGATCGAGGGAGAAAGAATTTTGAAGAAAAAATTCGAAGAAGTCTTGTTTTTATGGATTTAAAAAAGAAAAAAAAAAGGCAATGGTAGAAAATCAATCGATTTGATATTTGAAACGAGAAATCGAAGCGAAATAGCGCGAGACGAACGCGGATGTTTCCGCGAACAGGGCCATCACGCTCCGGATACATCGAGCTTCCGCCTCAGTCGTCGTTCCGAGTTCCGGCGAGTTTATAAGATATATTATTCGGTTCTGATTCGATCTCATTCGTTTCGATCGAAACACGTGTTACGAATTTGTAATACGAGCATCGTGTGCAATTTCGACAACCTAGTACCACGGGAAACTCTTTTAAATCGTTCATTAATATCGTGTAAGGATTATTTATCTTAAGTACACAATGTAATCTAACGTCATTATATGTACACACGTTAATATCATATGTCGTACGATTAATACGCTATGCATATTTCTGCGAATTTCTTACGAAAATATAATATATTCACATCGTTTAATCAAGGATTATTGTATGCTGCTTCGTCCTGTTCCTTTTAACATTGATCGATTGATCTCTGTTGCGTGATATTTTTTTTTTTTTTCATTTTTATGGAGAATAGAGTGTTTCAAGTTTTTCAAGGCAAATTTTCTCGGTATATTTTATTGAAGTGAACGAAGAAAAATTTATATATATAAACGTAAGTCGTTTGTTCATTTATCAAAGATGTAAAAACTCGTCGTGTTTATGCGTAAGGAAAAGAAAAATAGAAAAAAAAAAAAAAAATTGCGAAATGAAAATTGATGATGAAATGATTCATTGAGATAAAAGAAGAAATCAGAATGAAGATTTTATTAGAATAATAAATAATAATAAGTATCTATTCGTAGAAGATAATTTTATCGAAAGAAGTTATTAATAGTTACTGATTATATTGCCAATCTATTTTTGTTATAATTTTTTAATAAAGATTAGATTAAACAATTTATATTTATATTGTATATATGTTTATATTATATTTTTCTTATTTATATAATAAAAAATAATATACTGATTAAATTATTATGGAAAAACTTGGGACACACTATAGAAATGTTGTTAAAAAAAAAAAAAAGATAGTACTATTTTTTTCCTTTTAATTAAGCGAGCTGATTCATTGTTTTGAAAATGATCATCATTGATTATTAATATTAATTAAATTCGTATTCATTTTAATCACTATGATAAATATATCGTTGTTTCAAATAAGTATAGCGTTACGTAAATATAAGATGTTTCACCATTCTTGAACATCTTGAATATTTTTGACATTTATAAACGTGTCAAAAATTTCTAAAGGAAACATGGATGACATGGATTCAAAGGAATAAGATAATTTTTTAAATGATTTGAATCTAGAAAATACGTAGTGTAATTTATATTATACAATTTAAGTTTGTTCTTGTGCTTAGTATAACGAATTAATTTTATCAAATAAATATTTGTTTTATTTTTAAATGATAATTTTATTGTATATACATTTTTAAAAGATTTTTTAAGGGAATTATATATTTAAAATATTTGGAAATAGGAAAAAACTTTTTATTAAGTAATAATAAATAGTTTCATAGTATTTATAGATCCTTTAAGCATAAAAAGATTTCAAAGATTAGTTTTATTTTAATTATATATTTTTTTAATGTATATTTTTCATATGTTATTATATATTCAATGCATTGTTTATTTTCTTTGAAAGTGTTAAAATATTTAAATTAAAAATTAACTGAGCTAGAAGATATTTTATCTTTAATTTTGATAAAATTTAAAAATGATAGATGTAAAAGTTATGAAAAACTAGTTTCAAAATAATTATTATAAATATTAAAATTAAAATCAGTTTTCAACTTTGAAAATTGATTTCAAAATATTAATATTAAATATAGAGTTATGCATTATTCGAAACTACTTTTATTTCTTGATAATATTTTCCATCTCTAACTATTTTAAAAATTGTTCAATATATTGTTATAATATTAATAATATTGTTCAATTGTGATAGATATCTTGTACATATTTTTTTGCTCAATCGTTGCTCTTATTCCTAAACGTTTTTTCCATATTTTCAACAAAGATATTCAAGGGTTTACGATAATTGAGATATCTTATATATTTAAACAAATGATTTCACGTAGATCTATTCCTAGTAATACATATTTCATTAACATCGTGTGTATTATATTAATCAAAAGATCATTTTTATATGATATTCTATTTTAATCAATCTCAGTTATCGCTAAGTTTAATAATGTAAAAGAACACTTTTCGATTCTTACATTATATTAACGCTAGCATTTATAAATATTGAATTAAAAATACCGAATTATATGCAACAGATACGAAGTTGCATGTATTATACTCCGTGAAAATCCAAATTCGATTCCTTCAAAAATGAAGTATGAAAATAATTATTTTCGTTTAAATAATATTCCCATCCAATTATTTCTCCAATTTAATTGTACATTATTATACGAATAACTATTTTGCATAGCTAAAACTGCCAAAATGTATGCTTAACAAAAAGACACGTGGATAACTATAAATTAAAAAAAAAAAGAAAAGGAAACAACAGAATATAAGAAAATAATTAAAATCACGGTGCAGTGTACCGTATTAATTCGTACTAATTTCCTTCGTGATTTGTAACCGGTATTTATAATGTTATTAAAGCAATTTTCATTGCAGGGACCATCCTGTATGTATACCACAGACAGATGAATTAAAGCAAAAATAAAGTATCCTAAACTCGAATTGTCTCGTTCAAATCACGAGAAACTGACGAGAACAGTTCGTAGAGGTAAACGAATCATTGAGAAGGCCTGTGATCCTTCGCCCACGACATTCTGTATCGATTTTCCATATGTTGTTTGATCGCCATTTTGAGTTCGTTAACCCTTTAGATCGCAATGTTGCATCGGTGCAATGCTCACTTCGAAACTATGTCAAATTCAGTCTTGGATTAATACTTGACTTTTTTTGTAAAAATTGTATATTTTTTGTAAAATTGTAAAATTGTAAAATTGTAAAATTGTAAATTCTTTTTTTTTGTAATAATTGTCTATATAACTTCTTTTATTTAAATATGATTTCAAAGTATCTTGCTTTTAAGTAAGATAAATTAAGTAAAGGAGTAATAAGAAGAATTTTGGCAATTTTGTTTTATATTGTCCTCTAAATTGAGTTCATATCAGACAAGTTACGCATCAAATTGCTTAATTTCAATTGTTTATTTGTTTGAAATTTAATCTACACGAATGATTTTGAAGATCAATTTGTTTGATTGATCAAAAATTGTTTAATGTAAACGTGGTTTTAATAAACGGTATGGCACCTAAGCAACATGCATTAAAACGATATAATTTATAAAATGTTTTAATTTCAGTGACTTTTATTTCAATGTAACGAAATTGAATTTATTTACAACAACAAATATTTCATATATTACATTTTTAATATATATTACAATTTTCAGATAAAGATTAAAAAATTAAAAAGATTAAAACCTTGGGGCTTAAACATCCTCATCGAAGCAACAAGTTTTTGTTGATATTTTACATTTTTTTTATCTTCTTATCACCAAAATATCATATAAATATTAAAGAAATAATGAAAAAATCTTAACTTTTGCATAAAAAAAGCATTAAAAAAATGAATGAATGAAACATAAAATGTATGAAATTCATAGTGCTATGTTTTATTATTGAGATTAAAATGCGGCAATCTCTTTTATCTATTATTTTATTTTAAATATTTCTAAGACTTTAATGTAAAGGAATATTTCTACATATATCTCTAAAATTCAATCAACGATTATAAATAAAATTCTCAGAATATTGATCTTGATAATATATTTTAAGATCATTAAAATGTAAATCTTTATATAAATGATTACTCAAAATTCAAATATCATTTTGATTTTATTAGACAATAACATTCAACAATTTATTATTGTCTCAATGAAGATACAATTTAATTATTGGAAAAACAGCATCTTCTGAATCGTCTGAAACGTCTGAAAAATGAAAATCAAAAGAATTTCTTTAAAAAGAAGGTATTGCATTTTAGAAATATAGCTTTCGTGTTAAGAAATATATACAAATATCTACACTACCAGCATGTTATAACATAGAAGAAGAAAACAAAGAAGAGAAAAAGAAAATGAGAAAGAAGAAAGATAGAT